CAATAAACACTTCTCATTGGCAAAATGATTGCATTGCTCTACTAATAGTCTCTTAGAACATCTGAATCCATTTGAAATGCATGGGGAAGAAACTTCATTTGGCTGCTTTTAAAGAAAGGGGATTTCCATGGGGAATAATGCATTAAAGATATAGCTAAATAGATACACTTTACCTTCAAATAAATGGAATGGGCAGTAGCATTAATCTAGGAGGCTTCTGCTGTAGAGTGAGTGTGGCGAAGATATGGCTTTTGCACTGGGAGCAGGACATGTCATAGTTAAGATCTTTTTAGTCGAGATGAGGCTTTTGTAGCAAAAATTTAGCTTCATAATCATTACAGTATCGCTTCCATGCACTACTGATGATAATGGAGTGATGTGTAGAATAAAGAAAGAAGAAATAGGCTGAAGACTAACCCTAAAACCTGGTTCTCAGCTGCTGCAGAGTATTTTTGCATTTATGGAAAGATAGCTAGGGTCATGAGAGATGGTTGATGTATTTTCCTTCTTCTGGTTACTCTGCCTTTTTTTGGAAAAAGGCCATTGTGTTAAAAAAAAATCTTAAGCTTTATTCATATCTTACTGGAAATCTCTTTATCAAAGAATTAAAAATGAAATCCATGGGTTTTTCTCTCTTTTAAAAATTAAAATTTTTAATAATAGATAAGATGATTTTCAGGGTTCTTACATTAGAATTGTTTTTCAAGATGATTGCTATCCAGTTATAGAGAAGAACAGTTTCATAAAATATAGATAAATGCACCAGTTTTTTTTAATACAAATTTTAAATGTAAATGAAGTAAAAAGATACATTGCAAGAAAACTGATAAATAAGGTTCACATATCAGAATACTTATCTGTTTGCACTTCATCCTTCATCAAAAAAGACTTCGAATGCCTTATACTAACCTCAAATCCTAGAGCAGCCTCCTGGCTCTCATGCCTTAAATAAATTTCATTGTATTGCTTGCATTAAAAAATACAGTAGTTCCCCTGTATCCACGAGAGATACATTCCAAGACCTAACATAGGTAGTAGCATACCCTATATATAAATCATTTTTCGTTTACGTACATGCCCATGATAAAGTTTGATAAATTTTGCAAAATAAGTCTAGAATTAACACTTTTTCACTGATGGAAAGCATTTTACAGCTTCTCTTTGGCTTTGAAAAACTGCCAGCATCACTACTTTTGTACTTTGGGGCCAATATTAAGCAAAATTAAAGGTAATATTTGGGCCACAGTAAACCGTGGATAATTGAAACCACGGATACCAAATCCATGGATACAGGGGTTCAACCGTGTAAATATATACTATTGCTGCTTTTGGATCTTATATGCCTTGAGATTACTAAACTTTTGTTGACAGGATATTGATGATATTTTGGAACATATTGGTCTTTGTTCTCTTCTGACTTCTTGACAGTGATAATGAGGTGTTGCCAATGATAAGGGTAAACTCATTATTTTAACTATGGTAGAAAAGGCCTAAAAGCAATACAGTATTTATGTACAACTATGAAGGGTGAGAACACTGTGTTCAATAAATTAAACTCTGATAAATTTTTTGGTCCGGTTGGTTTCTTGCTTTTCTTCAGTGTTCATAAGACAAGTAGTACGTAAAAATGAAAAAATAAGAATACTGATTTTTTCTTTCATAAATTGTATATTAATGTTTGCCAATATTCAGATGTTTTGCTTACCCTTACTATCATCAACACCTTATATACACTTTTCTTCATTGACAAGCATATATTTGTGTGTACTTGTGTGTTTTAAAGCCTCAATATGTCTTCCCACATTCAGGCCATAAATGTAAATTGTATATTTGAGTGTTTCAATATATACACTGTATTCCAGCATTAGAATATTTGGAATATTTATAGATATATAAGAAATCTGTTTACTCCAAAAATATATGTGAATTTGTTGCTGAAGATTTAACACTTAATGTCGTGTATGTTAAAAAGTGTATAAACGTTTTATCTTCATCACAAATTGAAACATGTCTTCAGACTAAATTTGGCGTAAGAATTTTAGACTGCATAAGTTACATAACTGTGATGCTCTTTGGGCAAGTAGTGTATAAAGAAGTGTAGTTCTACTTTACCTGATCTTATTAGTAATAGACTGTCTATTTCCATCTAATTGTTGATAAACAATAAAACTATGTGTTAGTTACCCCTTCTAGTTACTGATTCCTCTAACATTTTTTTTTCATTTACTAACATTACATATGGTATATGACTCAGATAAACTGTCATGTATGCCCTATCGATTTCTCATTAAGTTATTTTGTTATGTTTGAAAAACATGCTTACAGTGGTAAATGCGTGCAGTATTAATTAAAAATATATTTTTTTAGCAATATAGTAATTATTCAAACACCTGTGAAAGAGGCTTCTCGACATTGAGAGTGACTTGTAAACTTTTAATTATTTAATTTGGAATAATATAAACTTTTATTACTAAATTTAAAAAGAGAAACTTTCATTTTTCTTTTTGTACTACCCTGCCTTGGTGGGATACGGCCGGTTTGTTGAAAAAAAAAAAAAAACTTTTATTCTTTTTCAACTGGTGAAAATCCTTCTAAGCAACTATAGGAATGTGTTTGACATGGTCAACAGCTGTGGTCACCAGCTGAATGGCTAGCAAATGTGGGGTCAGCAGCTGAATAGCCAGCAGCTATTTGATCACCTGCTGTGTGATTACCATATGTGTGGTCATTAGTTGCATGGTCAGTAGGTGCATTCTTGGCAGAATATTAAAAATTGAGGTTTGCTGCACCTCTTAACTGTCAAACCATCACCATTAAGTTTACAGTCTTGCAAAGGTGTTCTTTCCTGCTGACACATTAAAAAAAAAAAACTTATCTGACTACTTAGGGAAGAATCTGTGTTGTTTCCTCAGTCTGCAAATTAAGTAACTTTTGTTTCAATTAGTTGCATTGACCTACATATCCTACATAATACTTTTTGCATTTATTTTGCTTTCAAATTATGCAAAAGTTTGATTCATTCACATCACACTCGCATCTGATTTGCATCACCTCAAAGTTTATCTAGCACTTCCACTTCTTTCTGCCTTTTTATAATGGTCATCTTTGATGGAATGGTTAATATCCAGAGATGAGAATGGCCGAGGGATATTCATTAAAAATATTTGGTTGTGGTAGTGTGGGTACTTGTGTGGAAGGGGGAGTGGGTTTTGGTAGGGTGGGTACTCATGTGGAGGGGGGAGTGGGTTGTGGTAGTGTGGGTGCTCATGTGGTGTGAGGTAGGTTGTGGTCGCATTGGTACCAATGTGGTGGGGGATGGCGTAAGTTGTAGCAGTTTGGGGGCTCGTGTGCTGAGGGGTTGGGTGTGTGTGACGTGGATGCTCATGTGGCAGCATTGGTACCCATGTGATGGGGTGGTAAGTTGCAGTGGCTTGGGTTCTCATGTGTTGGGGGGGTAATGTAGATTGTGGTGGCATGAGTGCTTGTATGGTGGGGTTAGGTTGTGGAGGAATGGGAGGTGAGTTACCTTCTGGACATTATGACAATATTAGAAATGCCCTGTACCCATATAAGAGGCATTTTGGCATGTTCTTTAAGAAATTTTTACTTTCCAGGTAAATATTTTGGTGTACTATAGAAAGCTCACTTAGCTCAATGCCAGAGTGATATGCAACATAAGGTAACAATGAATGAGGATCTACTATACATTCAAAATACATGTTAAGAAAAAAATCTTTGAAATGGTGTCTCAATATCTCAGATTTTTGCAAAGGAAGAGCTTATATGAAAATATAACTGGCACTTTAATTTGAGGGTCCTGAGAACCTTTTATAAGCTTTTTGTCTCGTGTAAATTTGATAGTCATCCTCATCTGTACACTGATAATTGCTCTTGCAAAACTTTTGAAATTAAAGCTCTAGCCAAGGGACTAAATGGTTTTATGGACTTTTGGCATCTTTTGAATTTTCTTAGTTATAGTATTAAATTATTGCATGTTTTGTTTATAAAATGAGGTTGTGTAGTTGATTACTATACATTGTTTATAACATTTACCAAGGCAGTGGTAATAGTAGAGAATATAGTATTAATATACTTGTGCTTTTGTGGTTACCATTTTATAAATCCACTTATAATTTTCTTATTGAATGTGTTCATATAGTCTTTCTCTTAATGTATAGAAAAGGTTAATCTGTTCAGTACTCTCAAATAGGAAATGAAAATTGGTGTTCTGATCCATCTTTGTTTGGTTTACATTTCCAACTTGTGAGTTAGTTATGAGTTGTTCCAGTCACTATGGTGAATTGCATTCTTCAAGGCTATCTTAGTCTGAATCATTTTGTTTTATGAGGGTGAAGTAGCTAATTTCCCGAGTATTAGCATTGACTCTTATTGATTACTAAAGCTAATGTAATCCCAGTAATAGGCTAGGATATTTAAATTTTTTGTTAATGCACTCTCTCTTGGCCCTTGCCAGTAATTACTTATACTTTAGAAGTTGCTATGCATGTACAATAAAAGTTAGACAAACCCAGTTAGTTAAGTAGGTAATCATTTTCTCAAGAAAAGATCTGAATAAATAGAATAATGTGAATTACATTTTTAATACATATTCATAAATTCTTTTAATAAAAAGTAGATCTGATTGAAAATAAAACAAATAAAAATTTTCATAGAAGGAATAATTCATTACTATGGTATTTTTATTATATTTCTGTGGGTATTGATTGTGCTAACAATTTTTTTTATACAGTGAATAATTGTATTCTTGGATGATTTATTTTTGGTGCATTTCTAAGTTATATCATTATCATATAATATTACAAGTAATATAATTTTAGACCATTTCTCATTCATTTTAAGTCTGTAAATTCTCCTAATATAATTTTCTTTTAAGTATTTCTTAGATTAGTTTGATTTAAATACACACTTTATTTTTTTTTCTAGAGAAGGTATCTGAAATGCTGTGTAAGTGCTTAAAGTATAATTTCCTTTATTTTCAGTACTAGCCCAGCACACACTTGTCATCTCCTGTTTACCAGCATACTTAGGTACTTGTTCAACTTAACTAAACCACTTTCATTGTTTACTTAGTTCAGTTCATTGTTTATTGTCCAGCTCTTCTCATTAACATTATATCCAATTAAACCCCTTAATTTGCTATATTCTGGTAGCCCAAGAAACCTCCTTTTTTTAAATTATTTAACTTAAAGTAATTTTGAGCATTAAAAGATGTACATAATGTATTTGTAAGAAAAATATTGTAAATTCAAGTTACAGCACAGGTTTTCTCATTATATACATACTCAATGAATAGTTTATGGATGACTGTTATTTTAGGCTCCTCTACTCTTGTGAAGATCCATGGTACACAGACTAATTCACTAATTTCAGAAAGATAGTCGGTACAGTATATAACTTGATGAAAAGTAAAAATGCAGATTAATGAAAATCATCCTTGAAATTAGCAAACATGTACCTAGTTAAGCTAAGGGCTTCAGGAGTGATAACTCTACAAATGAGATGTGGCAGTGATGACTTAAAAAAAAAAAATTGACACTATACAGCCATCTGTTATATGACCCATTTTTACTACAGCTGGCCTAGAGCAGTATAAAATGTTGTTCTACTCTATATATCTGGGTGGGGTAACCGTGCATCCCTCGTTTTCCAGTGAAAATATAAGTTTTGCACTTTATCCTGTGAATTCAACAGCCACAAGTTTCTTACAGAATGTGTGTATCATGGGTGCAGAATGAGCACTGTGAAATGTTTCTCTACTCTGATCCTGGTTGTTGTGTATAAAGGTAATGCAGCTCAGTTGGACCTCGGAAATTAATTGCTTGCCTAAGCAACTAACCACGTTGGTGGTGGATACTGTGATGGTCACTAAGCTTATGCAGACAGTTGAATGGCTGACTGCATGTACTGTATTTGGATATAGCAAAGGAGCCGTTATGAAATGCTGGTCTACAGAATAAACAAATTCTGTATGAGATTTATGAAAGGCATACTAATTACAATGTATAACACTTCTTAAAAAAATGAAATTGTGATAAAATGCCTATGAAGCCCTTCAGAAACACTTAGATATATTGAGAAAATAGTGATGAATTGATGATAGAATTTATTAAATATATTCTGGAAATGGATGACAGTGAAGATTGTGTGATAAAATCACGTAAACATCACTCTCAGAAATAGATAAGAGTGATTATAAACGGCAGACTGATAGCTGAGAAGTACAGAAATGCCATAATGAAATGAACTTATGCATTGTAGTACTGGCGGACTTTAAAATAGCTTTCGGATGTATGAATATTTTCATATTAAAATTAATTTGGGCTTTAATCTTTATAAATGTACTACACAGAATAAAAAAAATCCTCCATTATTTTTGTTACCCTTTTGGGTTTTAGTGCTTAGTTTTGATTGCATAAATAGTAATTATTATTTTGTGTTGCTTTTAGTTAAAAAAATAACCTTGATGCAATAGCACTAACTACAAAGTGAGCTCCAGTTTGGTTTAAAAGATGAGGCTTTTTAATTCTTTGTACATCATTGTTTCATTAATTTATCTTAATAAAATCAGCTTATTAGGACAAGGCAATTTTGTTTTTTGCTTAAGCATGTTTTAACAAATACAAGCTGTCATTAGTTTAGGGAAGGAATGTGCCAGTTTATTTGGTAGTGGAATATAATATTTTTTTGATACCATACATTAACAAAATAAGAGGTTCATAGTTTTTACCTGATAATCTATTCCTTAAAGATTTTAATTTATCATTTTCTGATCAGTAAAATTAGCTTGCATTGTTTTTTTTTTTTATACATTTGGTTATGACAAAATTCAGGCCAATCTGTACCCTGAAAGAAGACAAAAGGCCTATTGTAGTTATACATTCTAATTTACAAAATATTACCCATGTGTAGTGCCGTTGATCTCTTTTGTAATTAAACAGTATGCAGTACAGTGCTGTATAAAGGAATAATCTTACCAAGTTATTGTAGATTGTACAGGAAAACTCAACTATGTTCACTCAGAAAAAAATAATTGAATTTGTCTGCATTCTGAAAGTTTACCATAATCCCCCCCAAAAAAAACATATGCTGTATTTTGTGTTTGCTGTTGGTCTGGTGCTCTGGATTTGTGTCTGTATTTATTATTTAGTCAGATTAATTCACATTAGGTTTGGCCAATAACTGGATGGGTGACAGTGTAAACATAGTCTTTTCATTGGCTATGAGAACTTCCGTAAGCTACAGCTGCCTAGCCTCATGCAGCTTTATACTGTGTAGAGTTGAACTAAATCTTAAGATACAGTAGATCTTAAAATTTGTTTCTGGCCAATGTACGTTACTCTTTCGTTTTTCTATTATTTGTTGCATCTCCCGGAAATCTGTAATTATACGGACAAGATGGAAAAACATTCCCATCACAATTTCTAGTGATATGTTCCTCAAACAAGTAAATATAGCTTGTCTACTACATAATAACACGCCTGTAAAACTAAAAAAAAAAATTGAAGTTGGACCATTAGTATGCAGTCTTAGTCTTGCTGCTCTTATCTTCAGCTCAAACTGTTTCACTAAACTTTTTGTAGTGCTCATTTGCAGCAGTCAAAAAATTCTGCAAATAGAATTTTGAGATTACACTTAGTTCCACAGTGCAGAATTACCCTTAATATTTGTAAATAATGGCCAGGCATGTACCTCACACAGGAACATGCTTATGACAGAAATGTAATCTAAGTTTAAAACTAATTGTGTGTGGGATACTGATGACCAGACTGGTGACCTTACAGTTGTAAGGATGGATGCCTGCTCACTCCCCAACACTCTGTACACAATTCATTACTTTCACGATATACTGAGAGCACTTTTTTTTTTTTTTCTTTTTTTTTTGTCACAACTGTTCTTTGATAACTTAACTTTACTGATAAAATATTAGTTTTATATCATGAACAGCTCAAAGGTTCTCATTTCTATTGTTTGCAGTACTTGATTATTTAACCATACATGATTATTTGATCAAACACATGAACAAATAGTTTTTATAAATACTATACAGTATCTGAAATTTTAAATTTTTTTATAAATTTCTATGCTAAATAAATAAAAAATCAAGATATTATTTTAAGAATAAACCAAATGCCAGTAATCAAATATTTTTTAAATTAGATTTTGCATTGCAAGATAGGATGTTAATTTAAATCTGATTAAAATTTGTAGAGCATTTAAAAGAGTTCTTTAATTTGTAGTTTTATTGTTATGTAAAATGTTTGAATTAGTGTGTTTTGTGTGCATGGCTGTTAATAGTAGAACCTTATCTGAATGTATTCTAAAATGTGATTCGTGTGTGTGGTCTTTTCTATATAATGTTTAAATATGTATTAAAATCAGGCTGACACTTACTTGTGCAATCTAGATGTCTTTCTTTTTTTCCCCAGTGCGGCATTTTTTGAAAGGTGATAACTCATTTATTCCAGGTGCTTCCTCTTGGTATTCAAGTTTTTCTCTCTCTTCTCTAATTATAAGAGATTCATGCAACAGTGTGTGTATCTAGGTGAATGTTATTCAACACTCAGTCTCTTGCAAATGTCTTTCACTTTTCATTCATTTAATGAAGGTTCATTTAGTTTGTAATGTGTCATCTTCACACTATTGGTACGTTTTTATTCACTGTTGTGTTTTTATGATGTGCAATCACTTAGAATTTGATTGGTTTACTTAACCAAAGAGGGGTTCTTTTCATTCATTGAATAATCTATAATATTTGAGAAATAATACTTATCTAAATTTTCTTCAGAAGAACTATAATTGTACCATACTTGATAACAAATTCTAATCCCTTAAGAAATATTGTTAAATTGTATTTGGCTTCATTATTCATTAATCAGTCCTCATGAAAGAAAATTTGTGTTTCATATCACAAACATTTGTGTACATTCAGTTGTGCATGCATACATACATAAATACATACATGTGCACACATTAAAAATGATACATCATTTAATAGTTGATTGTTTAAAGAAATCAAAAAAATATATAATTACACAACAAATAGAAATCAATAAATAGGAGAAAATGTTACTTAAAGAATTAAGAAAGCACTTAATGTAGAAGAATTTATGGTAAGAGAAAATGTTCCTGGTTATTGAAAAGTAAAGAAATATGAGGTTGGAAAAATCAGCGTGTTACAGGTTGTATTTGTAACTATAAAAAATAGTTATTTAGTAAGGCTAAAAGTACAAGAAAGGAAGAATAATTTGCTCTTACAAATCCTTGTATAGCCCTTTGCTATGTATTTTCTTTCTACCTCTTTTTCCCACTTTAGGAAATCTATGGTTCTTTTCCACTTTTGTTCCTGAGTCTTTGCTTCTCTGCATTAGCCTTGTGTTTACTTTTTTTTTTTTTAATCTCTCACTGATGCTATTGCTTTGTACACCAATTGTTTCAAATCATCTGATGGAGTTGGATATGCAGTTGTTTCTTATGACTGCACAATCCAAAGATTATGCAGTCAGCTAAGATTTTCACAGCAGAGTGTACAGTTTTCTCAGTTCTGTCATCTACATTGGTACCATGTCTGTCTCATCGTCTGTTGAAGTCTCAGGACTCTCAAAGCATATTTTAAGTGGATTGGCTCTTTTATTCCTCTCATTCCCTCATTACTCACTTTCAGTGTTGGTTGTGTTGCATTGTCAGCAGACACTAAAGGGGTTTTCCTTTGCCAAGTCTCTGGCCATACCAAAATTAAGGCCAATCTTATGTACTTACATACACTGCATTTCATACACAGATAACCCATACATAAGAAAAAGAAATTTGTGACAACATTTCAGTCCGACTTGGACCGTTGACTAGTCAAACACCATCACAGTATTGTGCCTTTTTATTCTGTATTTCACAGTAAGGGAATCTGGCAATCCTCCTTTCATCACAATCTGTTGGGGGAGCTACTCTTTTTGTCTGCTCATTGGTCACACCTGACTCCTATATGGCTGTCTCGTGGAAGGGCACTAGACTGAACTCTGAGAATTGTTAGGTA